AACGTACGGACGTTAACGAGTACGTAGTAGTAGTAGTAGTAGAGTAGAGAGAGAGAGAGAGAGAGAGAGAGAGAGAGAGGAGAGAGAGAGGAGAGAGAGAGAGAGAGAGAGACAGAGACAGAGACAGAGAGAGACAGAGAGAGAGAGACCAGTGTGAGATGGGTAATTCTGACTTTTGTGAGTGGGAAACTGGTTTGGATTCTAGACTGACATGATAGAGATACTGGTAATAGTAATTTACTTATATTGATATTAATTTATTATAACTAATAGTGGGGGGTTTTGTATACTGCACCCAGTCTGTGGGTTGCCATTTTTTGTAACTTGTAAACTTTACTTTTAATACAAGCGTCAAAAGATTAAAAAGAAGAAGTAATAATAATAGTAATATTTGTTATAATTGATATATTATTGGCAATATATTGCATATTACTACTGATGATTAATTTGTTAACTTGGAGAAGAAGATAGATCTCTCTACTATTACAGAGCTGAAAGTAAATGATCTCATTAATGACAACTCATGCATACTATCAAGATTAAATAATGACTAGAAGACCCTAATGAGAGGAATAGCCTAAACTGCCCTCAATGGCCCAATCAATATAACGATATGATTACCCTTAACTCTTAACAACCATCTTCAAACTCTGGATGGGTGAAGATGAAGAGTTAACTCGAGAGAAATATGAACCACGGGATGGTGTGCGACTTGGTGAGTAATTCTGCAAGCTGTATCTGTGATGAAATACGAGGAAAGATGAGAGCACAAGTCAAAGTGATGTCGAATATAGTAGTCGAGCTCAATATGCTTAGCACGATCATGATAGGCTGAATTACTGGCAATCTGAAAGGCACTCTTGTTTCCACAATGTAATGGAGTGGGAGTAGTGATTAGCCATGGCACAGTACTCACCCTCGGCACTAGAGTGTGTTCTGCTTGTTGCATCTCAAGATATGAGAGAATCGCCTAAAAAGATGCATAAGCCAGTAGTAGAACAACGATTGTTCGCATCACTGGCCCAGTCAGCATCAGTGTAAGCATGAAGCTGAAGTTGACGATATGAAGACCAAAGAATGTGATAGAGTGGCACGAATATACTGGATGATCTGGTGAAGAGTGGCTTAGTGAATGATACAAGGAGAGGCAACAAACTCGCTCATGCTATGCACTGCATATGAAATGTCAGTGTGGGTGATTGCCAGATACACAAGACTGCCAAACAAGCTGACAATACAGCAAAGGGCTTACCAGCTATAGAACAAAGATTTGACATTTATCTGAAGAGTTGTGTCAATTATCTCTGTATTAGTGAGGAAAGCATGCCGAGTGATATTAGAGGCATAATCATCCTTAGCGGAGATGGTAGTCATGAGCAAAAGAGATATCTCAAGACTAAGAAACTAACGAGAATGGCCGATCCTCTATGGCAAACTGTTTCCAAGCTGTATCCAAGTATCGTGAATGTGATCCAAATCGTCAACATACAAAGTAAAACAATTCGACCTCAGCTCATACTGGAGATGAACATCGGTGTCATGTTGATCCCGAGTGAACCTGGAAGCAAGAATGGTGGAACTGACTTCTCAAAGCATCTCAAACCAAGCTCTCGGAGCCTGTCTGGGACTATATTCCGCCCTGCGGAGATGACAGACATGTTGAGGCAGATGAGGATGCATATACACCTCATTCTTGAGATCACTGTGAAGAAAGGTATTCTTCATGTCCATTTGAAACATTAACCACTGACAAGCGGCGGCAACATTAATGAGAATGCTGATGGCAGTCATTTTAGCCACATGAGCAAATGCCTCATAGTCAATCTCATACTCTTGCATAAAGCCACGAGCAATCAGCCTAGCTGTATAATGCTCAAGAGAAGCATCAGTGTTTGAATTTTGTCGGCCCACTTGCTGCTAATGACAGACTTGCCATGTGAAAGAGGGACCAACTCCCAAGTATTAGCCCCCTTTAGTGCGAAAATCATTCATCCATAGCCTACTGCCAATGAGGTAAACGAGAAGCCTTCTTATTGGAGAAGAAGATAGGCCTCTCTACAATACCAAAGAGCTAAAAGAAAATGATCTCATCAGTGATTCAAGCTGTGCACAACTTGTATATACAACAAAGAACACAGAATAACTAAAATACCCTTGATGATGGGAGTAGCCTTAACTATCCTCGAACAACGTATGATAAGAGTACCCAGTGCTTGTAAAATAATTAACCTAATTATAGTAACTGTTGTTTGATGATGATATGGATTAATCAATTAATTGTCTTATTAATAAATAATGATGACGGGAATGGGGTCGGGGCATTGCTGGTTAGGGGGGCACAAGCCTCAACATAGCATCTTAGGCTCCATTCCCTCCGTTAACCCTTAATAAATAAATAAATAAATAAATAAATTAATAAATAAAAATAAATATGTATATATATATACATAGAATAATGATGATGATGATTTAATAAGGAGAAAATTTTTAAATTGTACCCAACCATTTCAAATCTTTTCAGTACACAAAGCTCTTACTACATGCTGCATGTCTTATGGATGACAGATATTGGCTCGTCTTGGAGCATGCAGTACTACTTCCTCTCCTTCGGATGCTACTCATTTTGTGACTGATAAGTTTGTTCGCACCAGGAACATGTTAGAAACAATGGCTCTTGGCAAACCAGTAGTGACCCACTTGTGGCTGGAGAACTGTGGCCAAGCAAGCTGTTTCCTTGATGAAAAGAAGTATATATTGAGGGATACCAAGAAAGAAAAGGAGATTGGCTTTAGCATGCCTGCTTCATTGAACCGTGCAAGCCAGAGTCCTCTGCTACAGGTTTATCTTTTTATTGAATAGTGAAAGGGTCTGATGAACTATCGAAAACTATTTTCCTTAGGCTCATTGCCTTCCAATGAAATGGACAGTGATGGGGAGAGGAGAGAGAGAGAGAGAGAGAGAGATTGTGTTGACCCCAATGCACTCTGTTGGTTTCCCATAGTCTACTGGACAAGGATTGTACTTGTTTTTGGTTTTTTTAGTAGTTCAGTGGGGAAGTGCTACCCTACCCCATGGAACGAATGGAACTCAAGACGTCGTGTTGTGGCACCCCACCTCCTTAACCACCTAGCCTTTGAGCCCATTCCTAAACCAATAATAAATGTACTTCTCCATTTAATACTATCCAACTAAAACTGGTTTCTCTTGTTTGTCTAGTTATATATCTGTTGGTGATTATATTAGTTTGTTTTTTAACCTGCTATTGGGCATGCCTTTTTTTTTCCAATTCCTTATTCTTTAGTCCCTTTTTAGGGTAAGAGAGTAATGGTTACTCCAAGTGTGAAGCCCAATCGAGACCTGGTTGCGTATCTGATTAAGGCACTTAATGGTCAGGTAAGAATATTCTTCGTGCTTGTGAGTTGTGAAATAACTTGTGCATAAATAAAAAATCTTCGATTGTGTCTTTAATTTATAAATTTGCAACTATCATTTTCCTTTTTCTCGTTGTGTTTTTACCTCTATATCGTTAACTTGTTCAATTTTTCAGGTAGTCGAGAGACTTGGGAAATCTGCAATTAAAGATGATAAAATTTTGAAGGACATTCTGGTGATTTCATGTGAAGAAGATTACATATTCTCTGCACCCCTCCTTGAGAAAGGTACATGAAATTGTATCTCCCAGGCAAGGATACATGGGCCTTTGAGTTTTAATATCAATTAACAGTGGGGAAGAATTTTGATTTCGGAATCGCGGTGGCTTTGGCTTGTGTTTGCAGGTGCAAGGGCTTACACCTCTGAGCTCATCCTGAATGGAATAGTTATCCAAAAGTTGGAGTATGAACGGTGAGTAATGACTAATTCTTTTGTGTGTGTGTGTTAAGAGAGAGAGAGAGAGAGAGAGAGAGAGAGAGAGAGAGTAGGTAGGTAGGTGGTAGTAGTGTATGTATACTTCTTCGTTGTTAGTATGTAGTCGTACTTACTTCGTTATTATTAGTTAGTAACGTTAACGT